ACTACACATAAATGAAATAAAATAAAATAAGATAAGAATTAGAATTTAGTTAAGTATGTTAGTATTCTACACAAATGAAAAAAAAAAATTACTTACCAAAAGAAATAGCTTCCAGACTGCCCAAAATGGATCATGTAACTATATTATGCAGGTTTTCTCTTTTCCAAAATCAAAATCACCAAAAAGCTCCAACTTATCCATAAATGAAATAAAATAAGATTAAGAATTAGAATATAATTAAGTATGTTAGTAATCTACACAAATAGAAAAAAAAATTAATTACCAAAAGAAATAGTTTCCAGCGAAGGGACTGCCCAAAATGGATCATACAATAACAGGTTTTCTCTTTTCCAAAATCAAAGCACCAAAAAGCTCCAACCTACACATAAATGAAATAAAATAAAATAAGATAAGAATTCGAATTTAGTTAAGTATGTTAGTAGTCTACACAAATGAAAAAAAAAAAAATTTACTTACCAAAAGAAATAGTTTCCAGACTGCCCAAATTGGATCATGTAACTATATTATGCAGGTTTTCTCTTTTCCAAAATCAAAATCACCAAAAAACTCCAACTTATCCGTAAATGAAATAAAATAAGATTAAGAATTAGAATTTAGTTAAGTATGTCAGGAATCTATACAAATGAGAAAAAAACCTACTTGCCAAAAGAAATAGTTTCTAGTCAAGGGACTGCCCAAAATGGATCATGTAACAATATTATGCAGGTTTTCTCTTTTCCAAAATTAAAATCACCAAAAAGCTCCAACTTACCCATAAATGAAATAAAATAAGATTAATAATTAGAATTTAGTTAAGTATGTTAGTAATCTATACTAATGGAAAAAAAAAAAAAAAAAAAAATTACTTACCAAAAGAAATAGTTTCTAGTCAAGGGACTGCCCAAAATGGATCATATAACAATATTATGCAGGTTTTTTGTTTTCCAAAATCAAAATCACCAAAAAGTTCCAACCTACACATAAATGAAATAAAATAAGATCAAGAATTATAATTTAGTTAAGTATGTTAGTAATCTATACAAATGGGAAAAAAATTACTTACCATTCGTGGGATGATTAAGGTAGTTTTATCTCCTTCATATCTTCCGTTGTTCTCTACAAAAATTGAAAAATAAAAAATAAAAATAAAAATCATTTCAATTTAATTTCAAATATAAGAGAATGGAAGTTATATTAGAAAGTTCAAAAATACTTACATTTAATACTTTTTTTACTCCATGAATAGAACGTACCCAGTCGCCAGCACAAATAAAAGCTTCCACCGTTTTTGTAGATAATGATGCACGATATGGATCTATAGTTTTGCCTCCAGTGCTAAAAGCAGCCTCAGAAGCAACAGTAGTGATAGGAATTGACAAAATATCAACTGCCATTTTGGATAGAATGCGAAATTTGAGATTATTGACTTTCCACCATTCTATTGTATCAAAAGAGTGATTCATCTCACCATGACAAATAAAAACACCTTCTTCTAAATATATGTCTAATTCAGATTTTGAAGGCTGAACACATTCATTTTTTCTAACAAAAAGATCAAATTCAAGCCTTCCTTTACTTTTGAACTTAGAAGTGTGACTAGACTCACAATCAATAGCTGAAATTGTTAAATTCACTTCTTGCTCCAAGTTGGTGGAAGTATAAGTTTCTACATACTCTTTAAATAAATCATATAATGCCTTACGCACTATGTCAATGTTTTTTGATGCTTCTAGCTCGGAATATATTTTGGGAAAACAAAACTTAATAAGCACCATTTTGTACCTTGGATCCAAAATTGCACCTATAGCCATCAAAAGATTGCATTCACCCCAATACTTGTCAAACTTTTCTTTCATTTTGTTGGCCATTGATCGCATATAAATATTTTCATCCAATGAATTTTCACTTAAGGCTTCTTTTATCTTCCACACTTCAGGCAAAAACATGTTTAAAGTTGGGTACACACTTCCAGATATAGTGTTTGTCACTTCCTGAAAAACTTTTAAAAATTGACACACCTCCTCTACTCTACTCCAATCCTCTAAACTAAGCAACAATCTATAATTGGGATCTCTATCTTGATATATTGGAAACACCTCCTTGAATTTTATTGCCGCTTCCAACATAGCATATGTTGCGTTCCAACGTGTGGGAATATCTAAAATTAACTTCCTTGAAGGTAATTGCAACTGTTTCACAATCTCACTGAATTTGAGAAGCCGTGCCTCTGATGCCTTTAAGTACTTAACACTCTCACGAACATTTTCAATCACATTCTGGATTTTACTAAGCCCATCTTGCACCATGAGGTTTAAAATATGTGCACAACATCGTACATGAAAGATCTTCCCACTAAAAAACAGTTTACTTTTAATGGTGAAGTTATCTCTCAAAATCCTGATAGCTGCATCATTATTACTTGCATTGTCAAAAGTAACAGTTGATACTTTATTTTCAATGCCCCCATCAATTAGACATTGAAAAATAGTATCAGCTATGACAACGCCAGTATGAGGAGGTGGCACATCACAGAAATTCAAGATCCTCTTCTGTAATTTCCATTCAGAATCGATAAAATGTCCTGTAAGGCACATATAACCGATCTGCTGACCAGACTTCTAGAAATCTGATGTGATACTAACTTTGTTAACACTTTTAAATGTTGTTTTCAACCTTTTCTTCTCCATCTCATAAACTGCCACACAATCATTCTTCGCCGTAGTACGCGATATCTTTTGATAATGCGGGGTGGCCGTATTCATGAACCGATTGAAAAATTCATGCTCCATCATGTTAAATGAATATTCATGTACGAGTATCATGTGAGCAGCAACTTCTCTGACCTTTGCATGATCATACTTGAAATTTGCAATATTTGGTTCACTTCCCAGCCCTCCTTTTCCTACACTTAGAACATTTTGTTTTTTATCAACTAGGAGACGACGTGGACACGAGTTCAAGTGCCTAATAAGATGAGTTGTAAGACCCCCTACCTTAGTAGCAAGCTTTGTCTTGCAAAATTTGCATTTTGCTTTTTTACTGCCATCCGGCTCTGTAACTATCTCAAAGTCATTCCAGACATGAGATGTTTTTTTTTCTTTTCTTTGTTTGAAATGGGCTTTCTTTACTGACCTCAACATCAATCACTTCATTAACCTCATCAATTGGCCTTTTGGCATTTTCATTTTTACTATCCATTACTATCCATTTCTAAACTCTCTGAATCTGATGTTGAAGAATTCAAAGAGAAATCTGGATTTTCATTTGACATAGCTATATATAAAAAATTAAAAAAAAAAACTACTACAGTATCAAAAAAAAGAAAATGATAGAGTAAAACTTAAATCCAAAGAGTTGCTAAATAAGATATATTGGCAAAATCTGTAAAAGGGTTGGAAGAAGATATTTAACAGGAGAGAGAACATCCAAACATATAATATAATTAAAGGTCCGTACTGTGACTGCAAACTTTAGTTATAATTTAGTCTTTGCAAGTGTGAAGAGTGAAGACCTACAAGTGTTTGTGCTGGGACCTGTTGAATGTCTCCAGCTCAATTGACATGGCAACAAGAAACATCACTAAAACACAGCCCACGTATACCTTGTGCGATGACATGACATTGCAAACACATGGAATCAAATTCATCAATTACTAAACACCTACCACTGTATCAAATTAATGTCCAGTTTGAGTTCAATTTTTTTTTACATAATTTAGCACATCATAATATCTAAAAAAAAATGTCGGATCTAATTGTTCAGATATAATATAATAAATGTAAAATGTTATGTGTAATTATCCATATATAATATAATAACAAGAAATCATTGCGAATTCGGGAAGTAAAAAATTGAATCAATAAATTAGGAAAAAATTCTCTCTCACAGTTCGCAGTTGGAGGGTGAAAAATTGAAATAGATATTTCCCCACTAATCTGTAAAGAACTAATTCACGAGACAAAACAGAATGGTTGAATTTCCAAATAAAGAATAATAAAACAAATAAATTAGGATTTCTTACCAAAGGCAAAGATTCAGCCTCAATTTCCTCTGATGTCTGAAACACCAAGAGATTAGCTTCTTTGATCTGTTCCAAAATTCCCTGTAACTTATCTTGCGGCAGTCTAGATCAAGACGAGATTGTCAACCTTCAGGCAAGGTAACTGGTTAGCCCCAAAGAACTTTCGAAGAAGAGGCCTCACAATTCGCTCACTCCAAAGTCTAGAAGACGGAACTGGGGAACTGAAGATCAAGCCTCACAAGTCACAATAATTCAATAAATCGTCTTCGTTGGAGAATGAATAAGGGAAGATGCCAGATGGAGATAAAATTAACCTGGTCAAGAGATTCGTGAGATTTCTCAACAGTAACAGATAAGATTTGAGATTTCAAAGAGATAAGGTAAGTTTTAATCAATTGACAGGTGTGCAATAGTTTATAATTTAATCTATTTTCTTTTGGGTACTTATGTTATAAATTATAATAAAATCATATATATATATAATACATATTACGTATATAAATATAACGAGCCTTATACGAGCTTTATTCACGAACATTAACGAGCCTAAACTAGCTCATGTTTACGAGCCTAAGCGAGCCGAGCCCAGCGTTGCTCAAACTCGGCTCGTTTACTAAACGAGCCTAAATATTGGGCTCGAACTCGGCTCGTTTGCTTAATGAACGAGCCCGAGCCGAGCCCTTAACGAGCCGAGCCCGAGCTGTTCATGAACAGCTCGGCTCATTTGCAGCCCTAGGCATATATTACACGAACGGTTCGTAAGCTTACACGGGCACAATAAAAATTTTTCCTTGGAGGGTAAAAATGACAAACAAAATATAATTTTGTTGTGTGCTAAATTATGCTTGAAGCGGTTTATGAAAAAAAAAAAAATCATAAATGTGTAATTTTTAAAATTTTTTTGGGAAGTAAAAACAGAAGTGGTGGGCCCATCAAGTGCTTTGTTCGGAACTCCAAAACTAGTTTGATATGCGAACACGACACAACCAGCTAAAGCCCGTTTCCAACTCCGAACTCTCTCTCTCTCTCTCAGCGACCATGAGACCCCAAAACAAAGTACTTTCTCTCTCTAACTTCTTCGTCTTCTCGTGCTTATGCTTCCTTCTCCTGGTTTCGCCGCCGTTGTTGGCTTTCCAATCCGACGAGCTTCTCGTAGACGACGAAGAGTTTGGCCTCGAAGGGGGTCGTTCCCCTGATCTCGATCTCACAATCACCCGATCTTCTCCTAACCCTCCACAGCCCACAATTCGGACCCAATCGACCCGGAAGAGGTCGTCGGATACGGACTCGGACTCGAAGATCCAGTTCTCGCTCGAGCACGCCTTCGGAGACTCCGATTTCTCCTCCGCCGGCACATTCTCCGCTCGCCTCAAGACATGGTCTCATGGTGGCCAGGTTTGCCCTCTGTGTTCTCTCTCCTGTTTGGTTGAAATTTCTTTTCATTAAATAAAAGTTGAATTTTTTAAAATACTCTTGTTTTAACCTTTTCTTTTTATTTGTTTTTCAATTTATTTTGGTGTAATATATATGATTTTGGTGTTGATGTTAGTTTGGTTAATGAGAGAGAACAAAGGAGATGAAGAGAAATTGAATCATGAATTTTGTGCCGTCTAAAAAGTGGGAAAAAAACCCATATACATGTAATTGTAACATATATATGTAAGTTTTGGAACCTGTTTAATACTTTAGATAACTTGTAATTTCATATAGTAATGAAAATACGTATTTTATGGTCTCATAATTGTTTTAGTATTTTTCTGTTAGTGTGATAAAAATGATTGAAATTGTTGTGATATTTTGATTATTTGGAATTTGAAATGTTTTAGTTTATAAGAAGACTTCTTGAATCTTATTGTAATTGTTTTTTATTTTTTATTTTATTTTATTTATTTACTTTTTGATTATTGTTCTGGATTTTGCCTTTGGTTATTTTTGAATTCATCAATCTTTGATTGATTGTTGCCTTTTCTGCTGGGTTGACACGACAATTTAACTGTAACAGACTCTCACGAAACTTAGGTTTTCAAGGAATGGTCTTACAGAAACAGAGAAGGAAAAGTTCAAGGTAATTCAGCATCAACAGTCCACCTTTCCGTCTTCTTTTTATTTTGATTTTATTTTAAGAACTAAGCTAAACATTCTGCAATATTAATGCAACAATCATGCAGAATCTATTGGAAGATGATGACTTCTATAGGATAAGAGTAGCATCCAACGTGGTGAGCTCTCCTGAGAGGGAGTACATAATTTCATCAGTGAAAGCAGTAAGTTTCCAATTAACCTTGTTATATACTGGATTGTATTAATTTTTGACAAAAAATATAAGCTTGAAAAAAAAAATGTGCACAGACTCACTTTTGCTTGTTATTCAGACACACACATAGAGTTATGGTTTTAACTCATGAAATAATCAAAGAAATTGTACAAGTCAGTTGACTGCCAGAGACAGGTTTTTGAACCCATGAGCATTAAAATATAGCTTCCTATGAAGGCACATTGAATGCAAGATTTCCTGTATAATTTGCTCCAAGACAAGTTGAATAACAATGTATAACCTTTATAATTTTATAAGGCTTTCCGCATATTTTCTTTTTAAAAGACAGGTTGATTTATGATAAATCTATCTTTAAAACTTTATTACACATGAATTGAAATGACATCACAGTATTATCTTTCCTGCTTCTTACTTTCTCTGTATGTAAGAATTGTGCCAATGTATCCTTAAAGGCTTATTTTTAATTGCCTAAATAGTAATTTTTCTGGTGATATGGAACCTTGAACCCATGACCGTAAAGTGCTGAGGTGACATATCTCCATCACAAAGGGTATGAGCAGAATTTGGTTCTATACGTTAGATTCAAGACCTATTGCCAAAGTTTTGTTTCTGTGCCATGAAGTTGTCTGGCATTTCTAAAAAGGCTACTTATTCAAAGATAATCTGAAAATTTGCATATCTATATTTATTAAAGAGATTGCTTAATGATAAGCAGAAAAATAACTTTTCGGTAGTTCCAGATAAATTTCAGACAATTTTGTGAGGAAGTGGTGGCTAAATAGTAGTTTTTGTGACTTATTCCTTCTGTCCTTTTCTCTCTCTCTATCTCTCTATATTTGGTATTTCTATGAGTATGAGTCCCCATTCTTATTGGATTTCCATTAAAAAATTTAGTGAAATTTATTTATTTTGTCTCAGGAGTGTACAAGAAACTCCTTTACCACCAATTTATATACTTGCATGTTGTGTCATTTTTGTATATCTGTATATTACCAAATTAATTGGTTGAAAATCAATTTATATTCCATTTACTTATAATTATGTGGATCCTAGCTGCAGCCTGCAGTAAAAAGTTTTTTTCTTTCCTTCTCTTGGGCTTCGCTCCCCTTTTGAGTGCTTTTATGCAATTGTACTTATAAAAAAAAAATGTTTTTTCTTTCCTACCTTTGTATGTTAGGTATGAAATTGAGTTTTTCTGATATTCTGACGGCCTTTTTTGTTTACCTCCAGAGATGTCTTCCACGGGATGGTTTGGACGAGCATTTTGTTATACATATGGTAATATTTGACTCTGCAAATAAGCAATTTTATGCATAGGAAATACTGTCTGTCTTACACTCTAGTGGGTATATTTGTTTTACAATCTGCTACTTTACTTAAATTGGTTAAACCACCATTCACTTAAGTTGGGGGTTAGGCTGTTAGGGCTGTCTTTACTTTCCTCACAGGCATGCATACTATGACCTGCAGGACTCTTCTTTGCATATTAGGCATTTTGACATGATATTGCATTAATTATTTTGTGAGACTTGTTTGAGGCCTAAAGTTTTAAAGGAGCCATTTTACTTAAAAGCAATGTTTAAAAGTCTGGTCTGTATCCGGCCCTTTCAAATGAATAAGGCGACTGTCCAAATGGATTTGGATCAATGTTGATTGCGTGCTGATGTCACATACTTCTATTGACTAGTATACAAATAATTTACTTTCAAATGAATAAGGTGACTGTCCAAATGGATTTGGATCAATGATGATTGCGTGCTGATGTCACATACTTATATTTATTAGTATGCAAATAATTTACCTTTTCTTACAGGTGCATCCATGGGTCCTTGTTATATATGACCATGCCACCTAAGTTTACTATCTCTTAGTTTATCACTAATGGGTGCTATTAATATTTTTCCCTCACATATTGATTATTAATCCTATTTTTCCTAATTACTCCTGCTATCTATCTTAACACACTCATTTGAGTTACATGAATGCATTGTTCTTGTTTCTTATTTAATGCCCAAAATTTTGCACCCTATAATATAGCTAGCTCAATAACCATCGATAGAAATTTTCTTTTAACTTGTTTGGTGTTTGTTTGTCACATAGAATACCAGTAGCTTATCTCTATTTTGTCCACCTTGTTCCAATCCCTACTCACTACACCATCATCTATCTCTTCGTATTGTTGTATATGGACCCGAATGATAAAAAAACGTCTATTTTGAATAATCATCTGGTCTTGAGTTGTGACGGATATACTGTCTTCCTCTAATATTTTATTAAAATTACACGACCATGTATTCTATTTTAGTCATACTAACTTTTAGGCCTTTTTCTTCAAGGCATTTCTCCATGTTTTATCCAATAAGGTTATGTCAGCAAAAAACATGCACCATGAAATGTCGTCTTGGAAATCTTTCGTTATTTCATCTAAAATTATTGTAGATATATATGGACTTAACACTAAACTTTGGTGTAATCCTACTATTATAGAAAAATAAGTAGTCTCTCTGCATGTAGTATACTAGTACGGACTTTAGTCCTTGTCTCTCACTTATATATATTCTTATTCTGAATAAGATTTGTAAGTTTTATAAGGAATTGTTTTCTTCGTAGAGCCCACTAAATTACATCTCTTGGCGCTCTATCATATGTCTTCTCTAAGTCTATGAAAGCAGCGTAGATATTTTGATATTTTGTTTACTTCTACACTCTTCTGTTAATTGTCTTATTAAATAGATGGTCTCTATAGTGGATACACATCACATAAATTCAAAATGATTATCGGATATTGAAGTTTCTTTTCTTAAATCTTTGTTCGATTATTCTTTTTCATAATTTCATTGTACCACTCTTTAATTCCATACCTTTATAAGTATATGTTATCAGGTCTTACTGTTTTATTTTTACCCATCTTCTTAAGTCCTTCCTCTACTTTCTTTGTAGTAATTTCATTTATCATTCTTAGGTAATATTCCTTGCTTATAAGGTTTTCACTTGTATATTCCTTATTTAGTAATTGTTGAAACTATTTTTTTTCATCTTTATAATATGCCATTCTCTTTACTACTATTGTTGTATCTATATCTTTAATACACCTAACTTTGTCCATATCTCTTGGTTATCATTTTTCTACTTTTTGCTAACTTCTAAATATCCTATTCACCCTCTTTTGTACCTAATTCTTTTTTTTTTTTTTTTCCTAATTGGTACTCACACACTCATGCCTCCACTGAGGCTCGAACCTCTGACCTCCCGTTGGGAAGTAGGAGTTTGGTACCCGCTAGGCCACTGGCCTGTTGGTTCTTTTGTACCTAATTCTCATGTAACTCATTTATCCATTTTGTTTAGCTTTAGTTACCATCTTTTTAACTTTGAGATTAAGTTTTTTGTATTCTCTTAGATCTTTCTTTTCTTTTCTTCTTCTTCTTTTTTTTTTTTAATTTTTAATTTTTATTTTTTTATATATAAAAAATTAAAATAAAAACTATCATTCTTTAAAAGTAAAACTCATTCTGTTGTTTTACACAGCCTGTTGTATTTTAAAAAATAAAAAATAATAAAAACTATCATTCCTAAAAAGTTAAAACTCATTCTTTTGTTTTACATAGCCTGTTGTATTTCTACAGTCCATCACCATGTTGTTTTCTTTATAAATTTCTTACCTTTGGTTTCTCCCAAAGTTGCCTTAGCCACTGGCTTTATACAATTTACTGTTTTTATGAGAATATTCCGTGGATCTGCTATCTATGAAAATGAATTTGGGAATCTCTGGTTGACAGAAAATGGAAGTATCAGGCAAATAATTATTTTTAGGAGGTGATGAAATTAACCATTTGAGTTCTATAATATGTTCTGCTATTCCTCCCAGACTCCACAGTGGTGAGAGCCTCGTGCACTGGGCTAGGTGGATCTGCTATCTAAATTATTCTTGTCATTATGTACTTTTAGGATATATATATATATTCTATATTTTTTACGATGCGAAAAACTCCTTCTCTCGTGTATTTACTTTTCTAATATATTCTTATTTCAGGAAGGTGTTAACATCTTGGCCATTAATTATGGCTCTCCTGGAGCATGCCCATATCCTCGGCAATTGAAACTTGTAAGTCTTAGCCGGTCTCTTATTGTTACCCTCTATTTGTTTATAATTTTTACGATGTTTTTTTGTTAATTGAGAACGCTGTCTTCTTCCTCTTATCTCTTGTTAATATTACTGAAATTATAACATTGCAAAAGAGAAGAGGCTAAGCTAATGGCTATTCTTCTCTTGATTGTTAAGATTTTTATAACATGGGTTGTTTTAATATATTTCCTGTTTGCCGTGTAACAAAGCCCTAAGAACATTCTTCAGGAGGAGGAATTATCTGAAAATGCCTTTTTTTTTTTTTGGTGTTGGTGTTGGTGTTTTTTTTTTTTTTTTGGGGGGGGGGGGGTGGTTGGGGTGGGGGTTGGGTTCAATGTGATTAATATTAGACATCCAAGGCAAGGAGAGACTACAATCATTATAGTTGATGTCAATGGCAATGATATGAGAAAATATATTAGGATTAAGATTTATATCTGTCCCCAGATAGAGCTATATGTAAAAAAGATGGTTTCAGGCTTTATTTTACATGGTTACTTAAGGGCATAAATCAGCAAGGCTGGGTAACACATGCTCTTCCCCACTGGTCACCCTGGCACAGACATGGGTCTATTCTCCAGGAGTCACCCTACTAACAACGGCTAGTCCTAAGGTTTAATCATAACTTACGTGGTATTTCCTAATGGGCGATCACACAATGACTAGGTCACTTCCCATGGGTTAGCTTTGCTGGATACTTCCTTAATGGAGTTGCAAACACCTGGCTATATTCCCTCTAAGATCACAGTGGCACCAAGTTCATGAGATCTTCACAAACACACACATAATCTCCACAAGTCTATTCTATTTCTCACAAATTATTCCTGACAACTAGTGTATGAGATCTTCTCAGAGGTCAGTCCTGACACAGTCTGCATGCAAGGTTGGCTTTAGTTCAAGTTAAGACACTTTTAGGGTCCCGACTAAATTTTCATTAAATTTCTAAGATCCGATGAGATTTCTAGCAAAACAACCTGAATATTAAGAACTTGTGACAAACAATGTATTTTCCATGCTTTTAAAGTTTTCAGTTAAAAAACTCTCTTTGTCAGGGATGAAGTCATAGCATTGTTATTGGCCAATTATTTTTCATTCATAGGTAAATTTTAATTTTTTTGGTTGGGCTTTCATAATTTTGAGAAAATTTCAAATGCAAAACTTCACATGATGTATAATTTGAGGAATGAGAGATTAGGGTTCCGATAACAATCACACGAATGAGAAATTTAGAAGAAAAAGGAAAGTTCATAACTAGTCATGAAAGTTTGAGAAAAGAGATGCAACGGAAGTTGATGATTAGTCAATTCAATTAAAGAATTGGAAAAAGTTATTCTTCAAATTCAAGATTTTATGGTCCATGTTGGGGATCGGTATATAATAAATTACAAATAAAACCTACAACAGGAGCAATAAAAAATCTGATTGGCTTTTTCCACTGGGTGCCCTAGGCAATGCCTAGAGATTGAGCCACCCTGTGTGCATGAGTTCTTCCCGAATGTCATTCACCCGACTCACATTTAGGTTCTGTTTTTTCTAACTGGTCACCCTGGCACAGACATGGGTCTATTCTCCAGGAGTCACCCTACAAACAACGGCTATTCCTAAGGTTTAAGCATAACTTTTGAGATATTTCCTAATGAGTGACCGCACAATGACTAGGTTACTTCCCATGGGGTAGCTTTTGCAGGATACTTCCTTAATGGAGTCGCAAACACCGGGCAATATTCCCTCTAAGATCACAGTGGGACCAAGTTTATGAGATCTTCACAAACACACACGGTCTCCACAAGTCCATCCTGTTTATGAGATATTTCTCACAAATCACTCCTCACAGCTAGTGTACGATATTTTCTCAGAGGTCAGCCCTGACACAGTCTGTGTGCATGGTTGGGTCCTTTTATGAGGTGAACTTGTCTGCATTCCCCCCTCTCCTCCCAAACAGTGGCCTATAGTCTTAGCTGCTGAATTTACTGCTAGATCCCTCTTCCTCTCAGACCACAAACAGAAACTTGAGTTTGGTTGGTGAGGACAGAAAGAAAGGATGATGTAGTGTCAAACAAGATGTATTAGTTGCGTTACTTGACCACTGATGCAATTTGTTGTCCTTTTATTTCAGCCTGCAAAGTGGTTCTTTAACTCACACACAGTCTTGAAGAACAGCGAGGTGGCACCAAGGTACCAACTTATCCTTTTTCTGTTTTCCATCCTGTAACTTTGTTCATGAAGGGTTTAATTATATCAACTATAAACTTTGACAAGACGTAGCGTAATTTGAAAATTATCGAACTTAATTTTCCTGTCCTGAGAAGTATGTGTAGCTGGTTAAGTGGTGTGATGAATTTGGTGCCGCCATGCCCCTTCACCCCATAATTGCCATGTCTGATGATTTAATACACCTGAAGCTCCCCAAATCCGACAAGTCTTAACTTCTTTCGGTTGATTTTATATCGTTTCGTACCAGTCAAGAAGAAATGTTAAAGATAAGATATTCATCGACTGAAAGGCCCATCTGTTGTCAATCAGATATATCTATATTTCTCGCTTGACCATTTAAATAACTATGATATTTATTTTGCATTGTTGGTTACTATATTGAGATTATTGTAAATAGGACTCCATCATTTGCTGAAGAAATCCTCGTTGGTGAGGATGGAGAGGGTGAAGGTGTAAAGCCACTAGAAAGGTCCTTTTGGGCTAAATATGTGAGTACTTGTTCTTTTTTTATTTTTTCCTTTCCTCGACTTTTACAAAAGTACAAGTTTCTAAAGCTGCCTTTTTTTTTGTTTGTGGCCCAGTGGATGTATTTAATCCCTCTTGGACTAATTATCATGAATGCTATCACGCAAGCCATGAACATGCCAGAGGAACAGGCTACTGGCCAACCAGCAACCCAAGCACCACAGCCGGCTGCAGCAATACGGGGGCAAAGCTCTACTGTGCGAAGAAGATGACTGGTTAGTTCATTATTTTGAAATTCTTGACAATACATCTTGGGTGGTTTGGGTTTGATTTTCATAAATTGATACATGTTTGCATTTATAACTATCTGTATATATATAGTTTTTTATGAGAGTAATCACATGAAGATATTGTTTGTAATTTTTGGAATGTTCGGTTATCTGTTTCTGATTGCAACGAGGCATCATTTTGGAGAGAGCATATACTATGCATGCCACCGCATGAATGAGCCAATGGCCCAAAATTTACTAAACCTACACAATTGTCAATGGATTACTTTCAGCGTACAATTACATTATACTGTGTGACACGCAAAATTAATCTGTTTGTGTACGGTCAGGATTATCCAGTCTCTAGATATTGAGGACTATGTTTAGTATGAAGATGTGGTCTAGTTACAAGGCTTTTGCTGCGCTTGCCGTTTAGAAACACTAGTTACCGAGTTAAGCACATCCTGCACGATAATTTTAATTAGTAAAGATTTTCTAAACAATACCAATTGTCCAACATGGTGATGAATTGACTAGTGCATGTTTTGTCACAATGTCAGGTTTCTGCATATAGAGCTGCACCAGCAGCACGCACGCAGATGGTGCTCGGGATACATTGAAACGGCAACAAGCTGCTCTGTGGCCTTTTCATGGAAACCAGAAATTGCTCATCGTTCCTGAAAAGGCTTTACGTAAGCGTATGGAACTTTGTTTATGAAGCATTCGAATTGTAATTCTTTGCCCCGACAAGGTTCCACACTTTCTGGTTAGGATTGATTCTTGGGGTCCAAATCTTTCCTCTTTTTAAGACGAATTTCATTCGACATTCCAAGATGCATAAGTTGTTGTTTGTGAATTTTATCCTTTTACCACATTTGATTTCTGGAGAGAATTTCAAGTAATTTATAAAAAGGTCAATTAGAGTTTTGCAATAACTAAATAATAGTAATTTTTTTTAATCTTCTCGTTGACAATTATCTCTTCAAGGAAGGAGTCACGGAGTGCAAGACCTAATATGTTAAGAAAAGTTGTTTTCATTAATTTATAGTTGAGAGGAAAAAGGGAAATGGGGCTCCATCAGATGTACACAGCTTCGTCTCTTTTGGACAATTGTAAATGTATGAACGGAAATATTTATCAATTATAATTAAGCTAAATATTATTTTAGTTGAAAGTTTTTTCTTCATTATTGTTCAAAATCTCCCTCGCATAAATAAAATTTTCTTCATTAGTTTTTTCTTCATTATTGTTCAATTGATCGTAGATGAGGGTCATGTACCATTCAGGTTCCTATTTATCAAAAAAAAAAAAAATAATAATAATAATAAAATGGGGGTTGTTAAGGTTAATAGTTCATCTTTTAAGCGTCTAGCTCAAATTGCTGAAATTCATACAAATTTAGGAATTTGTGTCCCAAAAAAAGAATCCAAAGGAGTCAAATTTTGCACATGTCTTAGACAAGAAAGAGAGCGGTATAACATGTGCCCCAAGAGAGGGCACAATTGACCATTCACAAAAATATATTCAGTGGGCCCATTTGGCATAATAGTGTTTTTGCTGCAGGAATATTTTTTAAAAAAATTGAAAGCACATTTAAGTATGATGTTTTAAGCGTTTTGTTTTTGGCCCATCTTACGCTACAATTATGGTTTTAGGTCATGAACAGTTGTCAAAATAAGAAAAAATAACTTTTTGATTTTGAGCTGTTCACGTAGTGTTTTAACAAAGTGTAAAATAAAACAAAGCCGCATTAAACATACTTTTGTTGTCAAAATCGACATTGTAACAGTCCAAAAACAAAAACAGCATGCCAAATGAGGCCCAAGTGTTCCAGATCCGCTCCCATGCCAATTTGTCGTCCCACGCTCATGCAACAGTTGTACTACACTGCTTATGTTATAAAAAATTTTATTTTTTCTTTTATTTTGTAAATGTTGCATTAACAACAGTGCAGTAATACATAGAATGAGGAGGATCCGGATTCATATTGGAAGATTTTCAATTACAATTTTTTTTTTTTTTTGGCTTTACCATCCGAGAAAAGAAAAAAAAAGGAAATAAAATGTATAACTTTCTTTGATGCAAGGAGAAAACATTTCCATGACTACACACCTTAAGCCTGGAGATCAAAACTTCCAAACAGGCCACCATTACACACTACAAAAGCAAAAGCTAAGTAGAGAAGGTCACGTTTGGTAACAATAGCTCCTCCATAAACTACTTGTGAAGATCATAGCGAAGAAGCCCAGACCTTACAAAAGAAGGAAAACCTGAAGAGTCACGACAGACCGGGATGGGAAACGAGACGGTACCACCAGATTTTTAGCCGACAACATCATCAAACCAGAGACCAAAGCTAACAGTTATTATTAAATGATGGTCAACACTACTAAGGATATGACACTAAAAGTTACTAGAAGTTGGTCCAGGATGTTAAGAGGATGTGTATAAAGTTAGATACTCTAGGTTGAATGAGAAACTTTGTTTAATATTTTGAAGAAAAATACGCAAATTAAGCAGATAATAAAACCAACACAATTACACCAATCTAATTAACTTCACATATCCCAATTATAGGAACCATCTAAAACTGGACCCTGCAGAAGCATGACAATTTGCAATTTTCAGCTTTTCTGATTTTCTTTAAAGAGGCCAAGAAAAATTTCTAAAGTTCCACAAGCAGTTGAGGTATGTTTGAAAAACCAAAAACTACCCGCGGGCTGAATGTGCAATAACGGAAGGGGAAAATGAAAATAGACACGACAGAGTAGGAGATCTTTTATATATATATATATATATATATCTTATTATACGCCAACCATCACAACTGCTCCACTCTTTACTCACTTTTAGGGGGATTTTTGACATCCTGCTCATCCTCGCGGCTTGGAGAAGGCATGTCATAGCTGATTTCAGGGTCCACAGTCTCACCGGCCAGAAGTTTAAGCAGCTTGATCTCCTCTTTCAGTGCATTTCTCATCTCTAGCATTGAAACGAAATACAAGAGCATGTTTAATAGGGCAAAAAATTTCAAATACAAAAACAAAAGCAAATCCTTGAATGAATTTGGTATTAAACAAAGTCTATATTTATCAACTAGCTGGGTAATCCCAATCATCTCATATAACTAATGCTAACAATGGTAAAGCACTCACTCGCCTGTGTTTGACTCAAGCACTTCTCCATTTTTTGACAGAGACATTCAAGCTTGTTGTTTGTAGCCTATTAATAGTTCATTCTTCTCAATCTGCAATTAGAGTTTCGTATAAGAACTTGCACTTTCCTTTCCAAATTTTCCATATAGCTTGTACTCATTCTGCTCCTTGAACTTGAGCCTTGCTTGTTCCCATCCTATCACACGATACTGGAAGAGTAAGAACAGTGTAATCATAACTCAGTGATAGTACTCTGTGAAGGTGACTATGCATATTTAGTAACATAAACTCCACAATGGACGTGCTCGAGGCTTGTAGGTGATGTACAGAGGAAAGACAAGTTCAAGATGCTTGGATGGCAGCTCCACTTTGTATGTGATGGGGTGTGTGTGCAGGAGGAATAAGAGGGCCTTTGACGGTGAGGAAGCTCCAGTTTGGGTGTTAAAGCATTTAATTTTGCATTCTCTATTTTTTTAAGTTAAAGGGCAGACTTCTAAATCTGTGGAGGAATTCATAGATTTGATAGCTCGCAAGCATAGAGAGTACAAAGAGTTTACTGTTGACTTCTTTTGTGTAGTTGTTCTTTGGTTGAGCTTCTTGAGCATTCATTAATGGAATCTCATTTAGCGGGAAAAAAAAAAAATTGTAACATAAACCTATATATTTTTACACAGATTTAGATTAACATTAGCAGCTACATAAGTAGAAAACAAATAGTGAGCCAATATCTTATTATGAATAATTCCGACAACTTCAGGAGAAAACGAGGCATTTACATATTACAGAGATGGTGCGATTTGATTCTTTACAACCTTGTAAAATTTCTAATTTTCGTTAAATGCAAATCAACATACATTTCCCTAACTACTTCGGGTCAGGTCCAGTTACATGAACCGTATGTTGACCTCCCACTGTAAGGCCATAGCCTCAATCGATCATATCTTTTCTTACTATCTCAACCAATATTAGTGTTGATTTTTCACTTCTCCAAACTAACATTACTTTCAATCTGCACCATATTACTCTTACTCATAGGTGTAGCAATTTGTTAGCCTATGATTCACATGGCTAAACAATCTTAATCGATTTTTATACATTTTCTCTTCATTAAGTATTTCCTTATGAGGATAAATAGATTTTAGGCATTCATACTTAATAATCACTATATGATTTAGATTATTATTATTACACAAATCAAAAAGGGATATGTTTTGTAAGAAAATTAGTTTAAAGTAACCATAATGCCCTTCAACTAAGTGAAAAAGACCATATTACCCTTATTATGTCATCAAATAAAAAAAAATTATTTGTTCAAAGGGACAAAATTGCCCCTCTCTCTCTCCTTTTCTCTCTCCACTCACCCACCACCAACTCCACCACCTCTACTGCCTCCTCCTTCACCACTACCACTACCACCAAACATCATCTCCCTTTATCTTTTCCAAATCATATATGTATATATATACATATATGAATTTGTTTATATACCCAACATTTAGTCTCCATATCTATCTTAAATTACTATTATTGGTGAATTAATTAAAATCGTTTGTTTTCTTCCCAAAAACTGTAGTCAGTAACCAATTTATGACTTATTTGTGACTTTGCGAGTACTCACATCCCTAATGTAAAATTTCTATTATGATTGTAATAAAAAATCAAACAATCATCATACATTTTATTCAATGGGTTTTCACACACACACACATATTACCTAAAATTCATCACCGTTAGAGAAGGAAGGGTTCGCAACAATAGTTTTGTTCTTACCTTGCTGGGGGTGAAGTTGTCGAATTCATCCTCGAGCTTCTATTGTGACTCCTCGGAGTCGGTGTCGAAGGAGAGGTGGATGGCGCCCCAGTTAGCGCCGTAGAGGACGGAGGTGGGGCGGACATGGACAAGGATCACGCCGTCCCTGGGGCGGAAGTAGTTCTTTACCACCCACTTGACGGCAAAGGCACTCTCGTCATTGAGGTCGACGACGGTGGGCTCTAGCGGCGGAAAGGGGGAATCTGGGGGAAGATGGCTGGATGTGGGCTGCCAGTAGCGGCTGAACCGGATGGTGTGATTCCGGCGGGGATTGTTGTTGTGGATTCAAAAAATTGTGTTAGTTAGTGTGAAAGAGTGTAGAGAGATAAAGCGGGGAGAGATGGTGGTGGCAGCCATGGCCGTAGGCGGAGAGAGAGAACCAGAAGGTAGGAATGAAGAAAGTGGGAATTATGGTTTTAAGGGGTAAAATTCTCATTTGACATACCAAAATATTTTGATATTTTTAACAATATAATAAATAGAGTAGTTACGTAAATTTCAGCAAAAACTGACTAAAAATTTGACAAACCTCAGGGGACATCATTGTAGTTTACCCTTCTCATTGTTATTGAACCCTAAACAGAAAAAGAGATTATATACGAACATAAGCCACAATTTGACACAACTCAAATATATATATACACACACACACACACACATATAAATGTTCTAACACTCCCCTTCAAGTTGAAGAATATATATCATATAATTCCAGTTTGGAACAAATTGCCTTCAACCGATTATAACCAAGAGCCTTAGTAAACATATTAGCTAATTGATCTTCAAACTTCACAAATGGAGTAGAAATGTTCCCGCTCAATATTTTCTCTCGAATGAAGTGACAATCAACTTCAATATGCTTGGTTCTCTCATGAAACACAGGATTAGATGCAATGTAAATAGCCGCTTGGTTATCACAAAACAATAGAATAGGAGTTTTGACTATTAACCCAAGTTCCTCAAGAAAATGTTGTAGCCATGTCAACTCACAGAAGTATGGGCAATCGCCCTGTACTCAGCTTCATTACTAGACCGTGCTACCACAGTTTGCTTTTTTACTTCTCCATGTAACAATATTCCTACCTACAAATGTGCAATAGCCTGTAGTAGATCTCTTATCTGAGGGAGAACTAACCCAGTTCAGCATTGGTGATCCACCCTAAGATGTCCATTCAGTTTATAACAACCCAAAACCTGGAGCTTGGTAAAGGTATCGGATAATCCAAAGAACCGCATTCCATTGTGGCATCCTACGAGCTCCCATGAACTGACTTACGACACTAACTGCATACGAGATATCAGGCCGAGTGATAGTAAGATAAATTAATTTCCCAACAAGATGTTGATATCTACCAGGATCATCAAATAAATCACCCACATCTAACAAAAGTTTTGTATTTGGACGACCACCTAACATATTCGTTTCTTTCATTGACACATATTTTCGTTGAGATAAGCTTATACCTTCCATGGATCTAGCAACTTCAATACCCAAGAAATACCTAAGTTTACTCGGGTCTTTAGTGTGGAACCGATTTTGCAAAAACAACTTCAACTTAAAAATGCCTTCAAGATCATCACATGTGATCACAATATCATCTACATACACCACAAGAAAAATGAAGCCAACTTTAGTGCGCTGGTGAAATACCGAATGGTCCGTCTGGCATATACTAAGACCAAATTCCAATGCTGCCACAAAAAACTTTTTAAACCAAGCCCGTGGAGATTGTTTCAATCCATATAAGGCTTTCTTAAGGCGACAAATAGTGTGACAATACTCCACCTGAGCAACAAACCCAGGTGGTTTCTACATATAAACTTCTTCAACCAAGTCACCATGTAAGAAGGCATTTTTCACTTATAATTGAAACATCGGCCAGTTGCAATTGGCAGCAATGGAAATAAGGACCCGAATAAAAGAAATCTTAGCAACAGGGGAAAACGTCACATCATAATCAACACCATAAGTCCGGGTGTACTCTTTTGCAACAAGTCGAGCCTTCAACCTCTCAATAGAACCATCATGGAGGTATTTCACAGTGTAGACCCATTTACAACCAACCAGTTTGCAACCAGGAGTTGAACGAACAAGATCCCAAGTTCCATTATGATGAAGGGCATCCATTTCATCTATCATGGCTTTTCGCCAACTTGGATGAGAAAAAGCATCCTGCAAAGTCTTGGGAACAAGAGTAGCAGACAATTTGGATAAAAAACAAGAGAGAGGGTGAAACATGATTATATGAGACAAAGTTAGAAATGTGCTGTGCAGTAACACAAGAGCGAATACCTTTATGTAAGGCAATAGGAAGATCATCAGCTGAAGGAGGAACCTCAATAGAAGTAGACAATTGGGAGGATGCTTCCTACGTTCGTCGACTATGCACTTGAAGTGGTTGTGGTTTGACAGACTCAGACGAAGTAGACACAACAGGCAACGAAAGCAACAAATCAATATTTAAAGACGAACCATGTGCAGAGAAGCTGTAATACCCCCTAATTTCGGAACACGGGTTGATCAAGTCCGCGCACAAAATCAGGGGATATCAAACCAATTAAAGTATTTAAACAAGCACGGATTACAAAATGAAATAAAGAATAAAATAAAACGCTGAAGAAATCCAATTAATAGTAAATCCATTAATAACTTCCAAATGGTTACAACTCGGGAATCCCGTAACTCAAGGACCCCTTAACCAAAAGTTACTATTTAGAATTTCAACCAATTAAGTACTAAGATCAACTGAAACAAAACTAATATCCTACTTTTAAGTAAATATAAGGAATGGATAAGTCCTCCAGCTGCGGATCCTCAACCTTGAGACTTGACCTTCTACAACCTGAAAAATAAATCGCGGGTTAAACCCTACGAGCAAGTTCTCTCTACCAAGCCTCTGAAAACCAATAAACAGATCATCTTTACCAAAACCATCCCTAATTAAGCTTTAACTTTAATATACGATGCTACAAATATATATAAATACTTATATATATAGTGCAAGAATCCTACCAGTTAATAGGGCATTAAATTGTCAAAACCACTCACCAATAATTAATTATTAGTCATACCTAGACCAAGCCCCCCCTTTTATAATTTTCTCATAAAGTAAACCCCACTCACCTTAACTCCATCCTAAACAGTAATTTAGTCATCTACACATATAGCAATTTAAATATGCACCGGCAAATCAACCATACCATTTATAAATATATTTATTTATATACTAGCAATTCAACCATGCTTCCTTCAATATATTTACTTTTACAATTAATTAGCAATTCAACCATGCTTCCCATATATGAAATTTATTCATAACCAATAAGGCAGTATATCAAAGCCTTTGGCAACTCATCCATGCCTACAATTCAACCATGTATTAATTTTAAACTTAACTCTAGGTATAATTATACATAGACTTCACATGCATATAATAAGCATGTCCTTAATTTAATAACCGTGTATCTATTACGATTTTAAACCAACCATACCATACACGAATCAAGTCATACCAAACAAGATTTATAATATTTAATAATCTTAAATAATATATATATACACATATATTTTGTAATGTATATATATGTGTGTATCATACATTCCATACCAATCGTTGACTATTTAAAATCATATCTACATATATATACACATATGTACACCTCCTTTCATTGCAAAAATATTTAATTAATTATATTTATACCACTAAATGCTACTAGGTATCTTAGTAACACTCTGAGGCTCTCAAAATATCAAGAACACACCCTCTAATGATTAATTTTAACCCTAACAAGCTTAAGATAAATACTGGAACTTCACCGGAGTCTCAAGCAACTTTCCAGGACCTCACACGCATCCCCACGCGCCTTCACGCGCCACCACATACCCCTAGACTACTCCCACGCGCCTTCACGCGCTTCCCCTTACCGGCAGGCGCGTCCACGCGCCTGCACGCGCCCTCAAGCGCCGGTTACACTCTCAGCACGTGTGTGGCTTGTCCCTATTGGTTGCCCTTCTGCGTTCTGGTGCACTCGCTCGCACCAGATCATTTTTAGTTGGCTGGACCATATCTATGGTCCAGATGCTAACGTGTACCAGCCCATCATGTGCCGCGAAGCACTGAATCAACCGCCCTTCCATCAACTCCTCTCAGCCACTGGATTAGTTTTCACACAACCTTATAATATGCCGTACACACTGGATTCACCTCCCTTAGATCGAGCAGCATCCATGGTGCTGATCTGCGGCTCACCATACTACCATGGACCGCGACACACTGAATTTTACGCCTTTGATGATGCACCGATTTGCAAATCCAACCCCAGTATGTTGTTTATACTACAAATATTTATATATATATAACAGTATATAATAAAACAATTTCTAAAATAACATTCAAAATATAAATTAATTCTAGAAAATTTCCAGAAAATCCTAGAAAAATCCCAAAAGCTTTATTTATTATTTTGGGCATAATTAAACATATATAATTAAATTAAGATCTATTTAATTTAATTCATCATACCACACAAGGTTAAAGCAAACTATAAAAAATTTCAGAAATAAAATTTAATTAACCTAACCCCATATACAATATTTAAATATTCAGAACAATTCATACATATATTCACATGCTTAAATTTCTAATTTTGTAAAGAATAAACATGCTGATCTACACTGATTAACAATTTGATTTAATAAGTTAAAATTAAAATTTCGATAATTAAGGTGATAAGCTTATGAGTTCTAAGAGGAGAAGTAGAGAAGAACTCGCCTTTTCTTTTCCAAATCCGGTCTCCTCTTACGTTCTTTGATCCGGCCTCGTCTTCGTTAGCCCTTCTTCTTCTCTCCCTAATTCTCTTATTTTTCTAACGTGGAAAAACTCCTAACCCTAGAGTCTTATGTGTCTATTTATATACATACAAAAACTAAATCCTTTTCCCATTAGGATTATCATATAAAATAAATAATATTTATCTTTTAAATAATATATATACATACATATATTTTACTATAAACATATATATATTACCTTCCATATATAACCATTAGTTAAATAAATTATATATACCTATATATATCAATATATAATTATATTGACATATATACCCCTCCACATGATTTAATAATGAATTAATATACACATGTAATTATATAGGTATAATTATGCAAAGATAATTATTAAATATCCTCACAACCACGGGCCTTTACCAATTAACCCAACAAGGCTTCCTTCAAGCCCAATACCACATCCGTTGATTCAAATTCCTTTAATCCCAATACAAATAACTTAAATACCTAAAATAATGAAATTAAATTTAATAGCTACCAATAATTAACAATAAAGGTACACCAACACAAAATCACGCAAATCAAATAAACACTTCACTAACTAGCATTCCACAAATCAAACACCGTATAAATTTAACAAATAAAATTACAAAATATATAATTTAATTAAAACAATACAATTTACCTACGCACTTAATTAAATAAAACAAATCACAACTATCAAGCACCTAATTAAATAAAACAAATCACTTAAAAATAATAATAATAATATAAAATAAATTAATTTAATTAAGAAATCCTTTTTACAATATCGGGGTATTACATTCTTCCCCCCTAATAAAAGGAATTTCGTCCTCGGAATTCACGAATCCATGAAATGAAATTTTGATTATTTGTCCCAAACTTTCATTTTCCCTTATTCCACTGTTTGCCATGTAAGATATTTAATACGTAAATATCTATAATAAAATGCTCACAATTGTGTAAATTACTTAAACACTTAGTGGTGTAATATACTAACAGTCAATGATTTGTATATATATGTATAAATATATATCACCATCATAAGCCAAAACCATCCAGATACTAATGAACATGATGCACTTATATCTACTAAGTCATTTCTACATCTACCTTGAAATAAAAAAAAACATACCTCAATTCTTCTGAGGTACCCATGCATTGCAAGGTGTGGCATTGTACACCATACCCTGATGCAACTGCTGTATAGGCTGTCCCTGCGGTGGCGGTGGTGCTGGTAAGGCCGGAAATGTCTGAGCCTGCACACGTGGAATCTGTGGAGTAGGTAATGGTTGCCACTGTCCCTGTTGCCCATGCTGGTTCTGAGCCAACCCAGGACACCGTTTGGCTGAATGCCCATAATCTCCACACTTATAGCAATGACCCCTAAATATACTTGACTGCCCCTCCTGGTGATTACCCTGTAGCTGTCCCTGTCCAGTCTGAGGTGCTCCAGTCTGCGGAGTGGGAACTCCCTCTCTCTGAACTTCTGAATTACCCTTGTGCCTCTTCCAAGGCTGCTGGCCCTGGAACCTGCCCTTATCATTCTGTCGGTTCCCATTATCATTCACTTTCTCAGCTGGCTGATTAGCAAAGTCTTTGCCACCCCGCTTCTCAGCCCTAGTCTGTCTGAAATCCTCATTCAGCTGATAAAGCTGCAAAGCTGCGTCCACCACTTGAGCATAAGTAGTGTAGGCTGGACTACCAGTAATAGCTCTCTTGATAGACCACATCAGTCCATTGACAAAACTGTTGCGCTTCTTCTCCTCTGTATCCACCTCCTCCGGTGCAAAGAGAGATAAGCGTGTGAACTGCTGTTCATACTCCGCCACTGTCATGTTCCCTTGCTGCAAATTAAGAAACTCAGTCTTCATGGCTGCCCTAACTGCATAAGGGAAATACTTTTCTTCAAAGCGTGCACTGAACTCATCATAAGTCAATGCCATCCTCTCCTCTATGGTGGTAACTGACTCCCACCACTGCAGTGCATCCCCAACTAGCTTGAAGGTAGCAAGCATCTGCTTCTGAACCTCCGTGCACTGAACCAAGCGAAGATGTCGCTCAATGTCCTGTTTCCACTGGTGAGCTGCTCTCGCATCCGTGGAGCCCGTGAACTCAGGTGGACTCCCTTTTGTGAAGGAACTCCTGGCCTTCTCCCAAGTATCAGTCTGAACAACCGGTGCTGGTAACGGTGCCGGCTGTACCTGAGGCTGATTCCGAAGTACAGCTGCTACCCCAGCTTCTATAGCCCGAGCAATGAGGTCATTGATGTGAGGAGGATACTCTGGATCCCTGCCCTGAGCCGGAGCCTGAACTTCCTCTTGCTCCTCCTGAAGCTGACCCTCATCCTGAAACTCAAGTCGTTGCTGCTCTTCCTCCATTTGCTGACGTTGCAGGTGTTCTTGCTGCCTACGTGCAGCTCTCCTCTGTCGACGGTTCAGATTCTGTCCTCTTCCAGTGTTAACCATGCTGTTAACATAGAACGACAGACATCAGTACGATTTTAACGGACCGTAAAGGAATACAATGTATCCTAAACTTAAGCTCTAATGAAACGAGTACACAAAGCGGAATTCACATAACGAAAGACACCCTAGGGACACTTGAACCTGGAGTGCTCTGATACCAACTGTAATACCCCCTAATTTCGGAACACGGGTTGATCAAGTCCGCGCACAAAATCAGGGGATATCAAACCAATTAAAGTATTTAAACAAGCACGGATTACAAAATGAAATAAAGAATAAAATAAAACGCTGAAGAAATCCAATTAATAGTAAATCCATTAATAACTTCCAAATGGTTACAACTCGGGAATCCCGTAACTCAAGGACCCCTTAACCAAAAGTTACTATTTAGAATTTCAACCAATTAAGTACTAAGATCAACTGAAACAAAACTAATATCCTACTTTTAAGTAAATATAAGGAATGGATAAGTCCTCCAGCTGCGGATCCTCAACCTTGAGACTTGACCTTCTACAACCTGAAAAATAAATCGCGGGTTAAACCCTACGAGCAAGTTCTCTCTACCAAGCCTCTGAAAACCAATAAACAGATCATCTTTACCAAAACCATCCCTAATTAAGCTTTAACTTTAATATACGATGCTACAAATATATATAAATACTTATATATATAGTGCAAGAATCCTACCAGTTAATAGGGCATTAAATTGTCAAAACCACTCACCAATAATTAATTATTAGTCATACCTAGACCAAGCCCCCCCTTTTATAATTTTCTCATAAAGTAAACCCCACTCACCTTAACTCCATCCTAAACAGTAATTTAGTCATCTACACATATAGCAATTTAAATATGCACCGGCAAATCAACCATACCATTTATAAATATATTTATTTATATACTAGCAATTCAACCATGCTTCCTTCAATATATTTACTTTTACAATTAATTAGCAATTCAACCATGCTTCCCATATATGAAATTTATTCATAACCAATAAGGCAGTATATCAAAGCCTTTGGCAACTCATCCATGCCTACAATTCAACCATGTATTAATTTTAAACTTAACTCTAGGTATAATTATACATAGACTTCACATGCATATAATAAGCATGTCCTTAATTTAATAACCGTGTATCTATTACGATTTTAAACCAACCATACCATACACGAATCAAGTCATACCAAACAAGATTTATAATATTTAATAATCTTAAATAATATATATATACACATATATTTTGTAATGTATATATATGTTTGTATCATACATTCCATACCAATCGTTGACTATTTAAAATCATATCTACATATATATACACATATGTACACCTCCTTTCATTGCAAAAATATTTAATTAATTATATTTATACCACTAAATGCTACTAGGTATCTTAGTAACACTCTGAGGCTCTCAAAATATCAAGAACACACCCTCTAATGATTAATTTTAACCCTAACAAGCTTAAGATAAATACTGGAACTTCACCGGAGTCTCAAGCAACTTTCCAGGACCTCACACGCATCCCCACGCGCCTTCACGCGCCACCACATACCCCTAGACTACTCCCACGCGCCTTCACGCGCTTCCCCTTACCGGCAGGCGCGTCCACGCGCCTGCACGCGCCCTCACGCGCCGGTTACCCTCTCAGCACGTGTGTGGCTTGTCCCTATTGGTTGCCCTTCTGCGTTCTAGTGCACTCGCTCGCACCAGATCATTTTTAGTTGGCTGGACCATATCTATGGTCCAGATGCTAACGTGTACCAGCCCATCATGTGCCGCGAAACACTGAATCAACCGCCCTTCCATCAACTCCTCTCAGCCACTGGATTAGTTTTCACACAACCTTATAATATGCCGTACACACTGGATTCACCTCCCTTAGATCGAGCAGCATCCATGGTGCTGATCTGCGGCTCACCATACTACCATGGACCGCGACACACTGGATTTTACGCCTTTGATGATGCACCGATTTGCAAATCCAACCCCAGTATGTTGTTTATACTACAAATATTTATATATATATAACAGTATATAATAAAACAATTTCTAAAATAACATTCAAAATATAAATTAATTCTAGAAAATTTCCAGAAAATCCTAGAAAAATCCCAAAAGCTTTATTTGTTATTTTGGGCATAATTAAACATATATAATTAAATTAAGATCTATTTAATTTAATTCATCATACCACACAAGGTTAAAGCAAACTATAAAAAATTTCAGAAATAAAATTTAATTAACCTAACCCCACATACAATATTTAAATATTCAGAACAATTCATACATATATTCACATGCTTAAATTTCTAATTTTGTAAAGAATAAACATGCTGATCTACACTGATTAACAATTTGATTTAATAAGTTAAAATTAAAATTTCGATAATTAAGGTGATAAGCTTATGAGTTCTAAGAGGAGAAGTAGAGAAGAACTCGCCTTTTCTTTTCCAAATCCGGTCTCCTCTTACGTTCTTTGATCCGGCCTCCTCTTCGTTAGCCCTTCTTCTTCTCTCTCTAATTCTCTTATTTTTCTAACGTGGAAAAACTCCTAACCCTAGAGTCTTATGTGTCTATTTATATACATACAAAAACTAAATCCTTTTCCCATTAGGATTATCATATAAAATAAATAATATTTATCTTTTAAATAATATATATACATACATATATTTTACTATAAACATATATATATTACCTTCCATATATAACCATTAGTTAAATAAATTATATATACCTATATATATCAATATATAATTATATTGACATATATACCCCTCCACATGATTTAATAATGAATTAATATACACATGTAATTATATAGGTATAATTATGCAAAGATAATTATTAAATATCCTCACAACCACGGGCCTTTACCAATTAACCCAACAAGGCTTCCTTCAAGCCCAATACCACATCCGTTGGTTCAACTTCCTTTAATCCCAATACAAATAACTTAAATACCTAAATTAATGAAATTAAATTTAATAGCTACCAATAATTAACAATAAAGGTACACCAACACAAAATCACGCAAATCAAATAAACACTTCACTAACTAGCATTCCACAAATCAAACACCGTATAAATTTAACAAATAAAATTACAAAATATATAATTTAATTAAAACAATACAATTTACCTACGCACTTAATTAAATAAAACAAATCACAACTATCAAGCACCTAATTAAATAAAACAAATCACTTAAAAATAATAATAATAATATAAAATAAATTAATTTAATTAAGAAATCCTTTTTACAATATCGGGGTATTACAGAAGCAAGAAGTGTCCTAAAAAAAGGTAACATCCATACACACAAAAGCACTACGAGTGCTGGGATCCTAACATTTATAACCCTTTCGAGTTCAAGAAATAAAGACACATTTAATGGCATGAGGAGACAATTTATCGGTGCCAGGACGTAATATATGAGCAAAGCACACACAACCAAAAACACAAGGAGTCAATGCAAATAACGGACGAGTAGGAAAAACAATAGAATAAAGACATTTCCAGTTAAGAACGGAAGATGACATACGATTAATTAAGTAGCAAGCAGTTAAATCAGCATCTCCCCAAACGGCACTGGGAAGATGCATATGTATCATTAAAGTTCGAGTTATTTCAATTAAAAGTCTATTTTTTCGTTTTGCAACGCCATTTTGTTGAGGAGTTAAAGAACAAGAAGTTTGGTACAAAATACCACGAGAGTTACAAAATTCAGAGATAGCACCTTTGACATATTCCATTGCATTATTAGATTGTAAGGTTTGTATAGCATAACAAAACTGGACTTCAATATCTTTAAAAAATGATTAAAATATAGAAAAAAAAGTTCAGAATGATCTTTCATTAAAAACATCCAAGTCATCCTAGAATAGCATCAACAAAGATAACAAAATATGAAAAACCTAAGAGGAAATTGAGATAACTTCAATTTCCTGTACTAAATCTTTTGTTTATTATAAAATATTTTCAAATATTTGCATTGCACGTGTTGTACTTATTAGTATATATATATATTACATAATTTTATATTTCATAACCATCCTGCGTTTTGGGCGTCAAGCCTAATTTACTATTTAACTGAAATGAAAATTTTGTACTTAAATTAGGTGATTAATTATAATTAATAAATCAATTTTGGTAACAAAAACATATTTCATAACTGTTCAATTAAATGATACCTACCAAAAATAGCTTATTTTAAATCATTTGACAAAATAATTGCAGTCAACTATATTGTTTTAAATCACTTGCCAAAAAATTGAAATGAGATATAGATGTGCCTGATATTTAAATAAGTTTTAAAGTCAAATTCTATGAATTACCAAAATTATGAGACAAAATTTGACATTTTATTTAATTTAGATATAATTATATATTCCGTGACCTAAAAATTAAGGCAATAGTAACAAATATAAGTAAACAGATTTCCAAATGCTAAGCCCTCAAAGAAGGTGCAAATTAAATGGGTGACTAAGATCAAATCTGATAGGCTTACTCGATTTACGTGTCTTTATTTGATTGGTTTGTTATCAATATATTGATAACGAAGTGTTTTTTAATACAGATCAGAAAATATATTACTGAAAATGAAAAAAGTCATTTATAAACATAGAAAATACACATAATGGCTTGGCTAGTGTGAATGCATGCAAATCAAACTCTAAATCATAAAGAACTTTCCCCCAAAAAGGGTAACTTCGAAAACTTGACTTTCCTTCTCAAAATAAAAAGTTCCTCATAAAGATTTCATACCTACATTTATAAGGGTGTGTCTGTATAAATTATATATATTCACATACAAATTCCCTCACTCCTAGTCCTAGCTGGGTGCCCCTGTATTCACCTTCCAATCTTTGTTTCACAAACTCTTACCTCTCTGTGGAAGTTGCTCTCTTTCTTGTGCCTTTTCTTAGCGACAAAATTTGTACCAATGTCAAGCCCAATAGAGAAGAGCAATGGAAAAGTGGAAAAGGTCGAAGAGAAGGAGGTGAGTGAGAAGATTGAAGATGCAGGAGACTCTGTTTGTTTATTGTACAAGAACTGGCAGGAGAGTGGCGGTACTCTGAGTTGGGAAGAGTGGTTGTGGCTTTGTTCTTGGGGTTTCAATGAGAAGCAAATAATGGGGTATCCTTACTTGGTTGGAGAGCTCTGGAGTGGTGGAAGTTATGATGATGATGAAGAGATTGTTTGGGTAGATGATGTATGGAATTTGAAGGACATTAAAGAAATCCCAAATTAACCCCTCAGAAAACTAAATGCCTTATTTTGTAAGGTTCTGAGTCCATCGATAGATAAATCTTTCAAAAAAAAATTTATTTATTATGAGTTCTATATTTGATTCAAGCTTAAAAGTAAGCATTTTGTATACCTTATTCAGTCTCCTGTTGTTTTATCATCAGCCATTTTGCTAGCCGCATATGTGAAACTGAACTAAGTTCAAGAGTACAATTCAAATGAAAAGTTAGAGTTGAATTCAAATGAAAAGTTTCCTCGTTATTATCATTTAGGGGCAATACTGTAGAGACGGAACAGAAGATAATGGAAGGGGAAAATGAAAATAGACACATTAGTGTAAGAGATCTTTGTCAGAGAGGTTGAGAAGAACTGGAGGTCCATTTGTCAATGGTGGTTTCCCTTGGGTAAGTTAAAACTCATTTCCAACTTAATTGCAGCAGTGAGAAAGTAAATTTTTTTTTATTTTAATGATGTCTTAAAGCCATATATATATATTTCATTTATGCAAATAAGTCATTGTAATGCATCTATCAACTAGTTGGGTAATCCCAATAATCTCATGATAAATAATACAACTGAATCTAACAATTGTAATGCACTCACCCGTTGTTCGACTCAAACTCTTCTTCCATTTCTTGAGTCTTGACAAAGACATTTAAGCTCATTGTTTGTATGCATTAGTTCATTTTTCTCAATCTGCAATTAGCGTTTCACATAAGAAAAAGATTATCACAATCTAGCTTGAAATTCATTTACAAAAATCACTAACAATGGTTGGTAATTTACCATAATAGTAGCAAATTCTACATTAAGTTTGTTTGCTTCCTCCTGGAGAGCTTGCATTGTCCTTTCCAACTTTTCCATATAGCTTGCACTCATTCTGCCCCTTGAACTTGAGCCCTTGCTCGTTCCCATCCTATCACATGATACTGGGAGAGTAAGTGCAGTGAAATTATAAAATCATAACCTATAGATGGTACTCTATGAAGGTGACTATGCATATTTAGTAATATAAAGTATAAACTCCACAATGGGTATGCTTGAGGCTTGGAGGGATATAAAACGGGAAGACAAGTTTGACAAGCTTGGAGGGTCAGCTCCTCTTTGTATGTGATGGGGGGTGTGGAGCCGGAGGAAAAAGAGGGCCTACAATGGTGTGGAAGCTCTAGTTTGGGTGTTAAAGCATTTAATTTTGTGTTCCTTATTTTTTCGGATTAAGGGCAGACTTCTAAATCTGTGGAGGAATTGGTAGATTTTCTGGATAGCTTGCGAGTGTAAAGAGTTTACAGTTGACTTCTTTTGTGTAGTTGTTCTTTGGTTGAGCTTCCCTTCAAGAGCTCTTTAATGAAATCTTATTTAGCAAAAAAAGAAAAAAAAAAAAAAAAAATTGTAAAATAAACCTATATATTTTTATACGGATTTAGATTAACATTAGAAGCTGCATAAGTAGAAAACAAATAGCCACATATTTGAATTTAAAAAATAAATAAATTAATTAAGGGACATGTCCACATGCATACAAATTTAAGGACTGCTACATTGTAATTGTCAAGAACATAAAAAGTCTTCTTTTACAACCTTGTCCACAGGGGCGGAGCCAAGGGGGGCGGGCGGGGGCCATGGCCCCCTAGATTTTTGAAATTTTTTATTAGTATAGGCTAATATATATATATATATATATATATATATATACATATGTATATGTATATATATATATATGTATATCTATATATATATAAGTCTATACTTTTAACTATGTAGGTCTATACTGGCCCCCCAAAAAAGGAAAAAAAAAAAATTAATTGGCCTCTAACCAAACACGTTTTCGTTTCTTTTGGTCGATTGGTCCCAACGCTTTTTAACTTTTTATTTTCCTTTTTCGTAACTTCCATTTCTTTTGGTCCACTTTTTGAGTTTTTATTTTCTTGTTTTTGGTGATTTTCTCTCTCCTTGGCTCTCACACTTTTTTGGCCATTCTCTATTCTCTCTGTTATCTTTCATTTTTGTTCTTCTGATCTAGAATTGTGAGCGCAGTTCGGTATGAGATTATATATATCAATTTTTACTCTTTCATTTATTTTTCGTTTCCAGATCTATCGATTTTGTGATTATTTTGCCTTTTATTCTCCTATCAATAAACACGAGCATTGCATCGCACCGGATTGAGGTATGATGTTTATCTCCATTTCTCAGTATATCAATTTTCGATATTAATTTCTTAAAAATATATATATCAATTTTACTCTTTCATTTTGTTTTCTGTGTTCCGATATATAGATATTGAGTTTTTTTTTTCAGTGAATCTCAAGAATCACACCGGACTGAGATACTCGGAATGATGTTTCTTTTCGTTTTTCAGTCTATCAAACTTCAATATTAATTTCCTAAAAAATAGATTAATTTTCACTCTTTTAATTTCTTTTTCATTTTTACATCTATCAATTTCCAGCTTGTGTTTGCATAAAATGGTGAAAGTTAATGATAAAATAAAAAATTATAAAAGTAAAGTCACCTATAATGGAATGAATCAAATGCTGGAGAATTAAAAAATGGTGAGGGTGGACTCCATGAAAGGAAAGTACACCACTGAATGTATTAAAATATATATATATACCGCTACATTGAAAGAAAAGAAACGAAAGGGTTCACCACTAAAGTGAGTTCTTATCACACATGCAATTGCGATTGTTAGGAAAGTTTAATAAATATTGTTAGGAAAAAAAATATGAATAGTAAATTATTTTTGGCGCAAATTAGTCTTATAGGATTCTTCTTATAAGTTTGGCCCCCCCCTCCCATGGAATCTTGGCTCCACCCCTGCTTGTCCAGAACTTCACTATCAGAATTTCTAAAAGCTATGGGGAATTTATCTATATTTATAAGTATTTGAACCTACCTTGATATTCATAAGATTATGCATGACTATCAATCTCAATACTAGCAATCACCAATCTTTTTATCCCAATTATTGTACTTGTAGTTGTGACCTTTATATCACTAGAATCAATCAAATGAGCTTAAGGACTATGCAATGGTAGTAACGTGCCTTTATATCACTAGAATCAATCAAATGAGCATAGACTATGCAATGGTAGTAACGTGCCCACCAACAAGTCAGCCACTAGTCATACCATGTTCAAGATTCATGTTGCCCTTGATTCTCAATCTAGAAATTATAATTTTTTTTATAAATAAAAATATTCTCAGTCCAGAAATTATCATATGTGCTCTCTTGCAACATGCTTACTAGTTGATGTTATCGCTGTTCTTGATCATCAATTGTTGTTCGAAGACCTTAAATTACATTGGCTTTTTTGGTGAAGCAAACTTTTCATGATATTATGGAGTAATGGCCGCAACCATTAGTCATCATATGGAGTAGCTACAAAAACAAGAAAAACATATTGAAAAATAAGATAAAAAGAAAGTATTTCTTTTTCTGAAAAACAAAATGGAATTTGAAAATTGAGTTTTGAAGCAGTAAAGCGTGTTTTTAGTCACTTTGTGGCACCATTAGAACATTGAGATGGAGAACATTAAAAAAAAAAAATTGTTGCCAGCTTGGAACAAAAGTATTTATTTATGTACAGGTGCACTTATCGCCTAAAAGAAATAGCTCAAATAAGCATGCACTAAAAAGCTGCGCCAAAAATTCACAGGAACAAATTTGACTACAAACTAATTGCCATCCAATCTCTTATTCGATATACCTTATGCGAAGTAGTTAAATTTCAACATATATCAAACATTAATAAAATCTCTAACAAGCAACAGAAACATTGGCAAGCTAACCTTTCTCGACTTCACCACGCTCCTCAGCCATGACAAGGAATTCCTTTCCGTTCTTTCTCATATCATGGGACACATCCTGAAGCGATATAGCATTAAAATTATTAGTTTCAGCTTGATTCCTTTAAAAAAAAAAAAAACTCAAGATTGTGCACAATGTCATAACAGAAGAGGATGGCACCGCGAGTTAATGTAATTACATCGTGCTCTGCAGCTTCAATCTAGTTGCCCAGTCCACATTCGGATTCCCAACAAAAAAGAAGTTAAAGAACTTATCCTCCACATGATTGCAGAATGCAATAAATGAAGATTTAAAAATAACATCTGAACAGAAGGCAAATTACAAATAACATTTTTCCCCCTAAAAACGAAGACATCAAAGTTAACTAAAAAAACAATTACAAGGGAAAAAAATATTCAATAAAAGGTTTGTCAAAAAAAAAAAATCTGTAAATGCATGAAAAATAATCGAGGCATCCGAATCAGGGGGAAAAAACCCTAGCTCGTATGAATCAAGGAAATTAATGAAGTTCAACACAAGAAATCACAATAAAAATGTATGAAAATATAAAAAGTGAACAGATTCAATAAGACAAACATGTTACCGGAAGATTACGGATGAAAAATCCCGCTAAAAGACAGGAAACCATCAAAACTCTAATATTATATTTGGGAGCATCAAATGGTGCCTTAGATTTGAAATTGGAGAAAATTTAATTTCCAATCCCAAATCCACGAAGCCGGTTCGTTGCCCCAAGCATAGCATAAGCTTAATTGATGAGAATTCATCAATTTGACAATTTTTTTCAAGTAGAACAAACACAACGCAAAACATTGAAGAGTATGCATGACATGAGAGAAGTACCTGAGAGAACTCAGACATATATATATATATATATATATATATATATATATATCCCGCAATAGCTTTAGGATCTCATCTCTTTCATCTCCACAAGCACAACTCTCTCTCCCAGTAGCTGCGTCTATGCACTCTTTCCCGCAGAAAGGGAATAAATTCCTTTGGGATGGATACAGTTCTCGGTACTTCTCTCACTTTTCGGAGTTAATTATTACCCTAATTTATATTATAAATAAATAAATAATAAAAATACATAATTTAATTAATAAGAGGTATGTTGTTAATTAATTGATTAATTTCTCACCTCATTATGACCAGTAAATGAATAAAACTATCTTTGTCCTTTCATTCGTAGAAAGAGATTAAAAAAACTGTTAGAATAATTAAGTCATTTTACATATGAATTAAAATCAAAAGAATAATATTATCCGACACAATTAAAAAGTGACTTTTAAAATGTAAGTAAAATGCATTTCAAAATCTGAGTTAAAATTAAAATCAAAATATTTATTTATATGAGATTTGCCCTAATTTAAAAGAGTGTTAGTGTAATTTTTCTTAATTAATTTTTTTTTGATAAGTGTAATTTTTCTTAATTAATAAATAAAAAAACTTTTTCTCTTTTTATTAACAAATTTATCTTTTTACTACTTATAATATATCTCTACATATACTATTATTAAAAATACAAGAAATAAAATTAAAATTTTTTAAAATAACAACTAAAATAAAATATCAATTACTAATTTAATTGAATTTCTTTAAATTCTTATTTGTTTGGAATTCCTATATTAAAATTCTTAAATTAATAGAATTTTATATATATCAACTATATTCCTATATGAAAATTATATTAAAATTCCTAAATTAATAGCCTCTTATATCATCTATACTCCTAATAATTCTATATGAATTATAATTCTAAACTCTTTCAACTACTAATTAAATAATTAACTTACAAGTCTGGCGTATAATTTGCTTCAGACTCTTTCTCTGCTTGTCGCCTGGCTCGGCCACCTCCTCCCAGGTATGTTCACCTCTTCTTTTTTTCTCTTGTTTTTAATACTCTCTCTCCTCTCTTTTCTTGATTTTTGGTGTCCGCCTTGGTAACTCTTTTTCAAGGGTTGGAATCGCAAATATATTGTAAAAATTACTAATATTCTTTTAACTTATACTTCAAGAATATATTCGGTGTAAGGATGACAATGGGACGAGTTTGGTTAAACCCAACTTTGTCCCATTAGAAAATCTGTCATACCAACTCCGTTTTTACTTCGGAACGATTTTGTAATTGTTATATCATTCCTCCTCCTACTTCAATAAACAGGATGCCTAAAAAAATTAGTTCAATGCATTCAAATTGAGCTGATGAATAAGTTAACTCAACTTTTAAATTACTAAATAATAAATATTAATATATTAATGAACATTTCCAGCAAAGTAACAATATACATATATAATCGGGGCGGGTTCATCACTAAATCCGCCCCCGTCCCAAACCAACCTCGAATTTTCAATTATTTTACCATATCCGTCTTAAATATATTGTGGGGAACACCAAATCCACCCCATTAGGAACGAGGTGGGGCGAAAACTTCGAATTGAAAGAAAATGCCATCCCTAAATTTCATTGTGCCCGGGTCACATCTTATCCAAAAACTAATTACTAATTTTTTTTGAAAGGTAAGATATATATATATATATATATATATATATATATATATATATATATATATATCTTTACATATTTGGTTAGTGAATTGTTGGTGGGTGTTTTTTCCTTTCTTAACCCTTATTTTTAGTGATGATAATGGGGCGGGGATCTCATTCCCCATCCCTGATCAAATTTTTTATCCCTATTCCTGCCCCATACCCGTTTAATTTTCAACCCCCATCCCTGCCCCGCATAACATTTTTTAAATTTCAATTCATCTTTAACAAAATCAGCACAACCATAATATTTTTTAACCTAATAATTAAATAAAGTTTCAGCACAATTATAATAATTTAAAACATGATCAGATGTTTGATGCACAACGACTATATTTTTTCTCTATGCTACAAGGGAATAGATCTAGGATATATTATATATATAGTTATGTAATTTAGTAATATTTTATAACATGTAAGGGCAATTTTGTAAAAATACACTATAAACAGCGCGGGGTTACCCTCCTCCCACCTTTACCCCATCCCCCACCGGGGTTTCAAATACAATCTCCATCCATTCCCATTTACATAAATGAGTCTCCAAACTTGCCATAAAACAGGGCGGGGTGGGGCAAGGACTTGCAGGTATGGGGATTTTGCCATCCCTACTTATTTCACGTGAATAATAATTGAAAACAATTTGAACACAGTTTTTCTCAAATTAGTCCATTAATAGTTTTAAATAAAAAAATAATAATAAAAATACAAGGTTTCAACAAAAAAAGTAGTGTTTATTTTGAAACCATTTTAAAAGTTTGAAAATACACATATCAATAATTAAATTCCTATTAAAAAAGCTCAATATTAAGTTATTTTTTTATTATATTATGTCAATTTTATGTTCATTGATCATCCTTGATAATTTTAGAATTTTGCTAATTATGCTTTATAAAATATTTTTAAAATTTATTATCGTAAGGATTTTGTAATTGTAATTATTATTTGGAGATACTAGTAATTATTTGATTGCTTTGCTGAATATTATTCATTTCTCAAAGTGGTATGAGAAAGTATTTTTTTCTATATTTTTATGTTATTTATTTATGTACTTATTGTAGTGTTGGAATATTTTTGCTTGCTGTTTTATAACTTAATTAATGTCAGATTATTAATATAAGAATTTCAACTGAGATGTTAAGTTTAATGCAAAATTATTTACATAACAATTTTAATTAAATTATAAGTTCACTTTTCAACACATTCATCCCAGTCTTACTAATTTCTATTTATCCATAATATTATTAAAAGTACAAAGAGTTTGTCATTCCATTTTGAATTTCTATCCTATTTTGAATTTCTATTAAATATATAGAATTTTTATTATATATTTTTTGAGTTTCTATCATATATTTATTTATTTAAAATGTTTCTATCACATGTTAACTTTTCTTAATTTATCTCTTTCTCATCATGTACCTTTTTAAAAGCGTATCAATCAAAAAATAATTCTCTATGATAATAATTATAAGAATTTACATTTCTTCCCTAAATAGCAATTTACTAATTATTATTCTATATCGTTATTATATTGTTTTGGATCATATTTTATATTTCGCTCTGATTGTTACACTTAAATTTTGCATAAATTTTGATTCGTATTCTTTAAAAATTATTATTTTTTCTTTCAATTATTATTTTTTTTGCTTTTAGATTAACAGAAACTCTCTTTATTATATTTTTTTTATAAGTTCATTTCTTACATTTTAATTTATCCCAAAATAAATACATCAATAGCTTTTATATTTTAAATACTTATTAAATTCAACATTCAATAGTACAAAATGGAATATATACCTATATTAGATTTGTTATTTATTATAAAAAATTAAATATATACCTATATTATATTTTGTATTTATTATAAAAGATTTTCAATCACGCGCACTCTTACATAAATTTTTAACTATATATATTACAGAAATTTCTAACCCTATCCTCAGCCCTAATTTACTACCTTCGGACTTAAAATAGGTGATTAATTATAATGAATAAATCATTTTTGGTAGCAAAATTGTATTTTGTAACTGTTCAATTAAATTCTACATACCAAAAATAGTTTATTTTAAATTACTTACTAAAATACAGTGAACTATACCAACCAAAAGAAAATTGTTTTAAATCACTTACCAAAAAACTGGGCTTAGATATAGATGTGCGTAATATATATAAATCAGTATTAAAGTCAAATTGTGTGAATTCACCTTAAATTATGGAGGGAAAATTTGACAAATCAAATTGGTGATCAACTACACGTCTTTACTTGATTGGTTTGTATCAAAATATTTAGTATTAAATGGCCCACACCCCCTCAAGTTTGTACTTATTATTTTCATATTAAATTTTAGTCATTTTTGCTTTCACACACCGTATATAAAAAGTATGAAAAAAGTGTTTTTTACCATTACACCCTTGACTTTATTAACCCTTATGTTTATGTCATTGCTGACATGTGCAGGTGAAACATGAAATAACAATATTACCCTTTATTAATTTAATTGCCTACTGCCAAAACCAAAAAATAAAATTGTAAAAATAAAATCCCGTCATTGAATCAATCTCCGACGATGGCAGAGTTTGTGTTGCAGAGAGGTTAGAGAGAGAAACAGACTTAAAATTTAAAAAATAATACAAATGAGTAATAATAATAAGATGAAATAAAAAAAATAAGGTCAGCAACCAATAGGAGGTAGACACGCGAGTGAATTGAAATAATATGTGATGGTTAAATGTCTAACAAATTATGGGTAAAACTGTACATGAAATAATGGAGGGTAATTTAAGCATTATATTTTATTAATTTGAAAAAAGAGGTATCACGGTAAGATAAACCAAATCTAAAGGGATGTGATAGCAAAAATGACTAAGGTTTAGTATGAGAGCAATAAGTCCATACCTGAGGTGTGTGAGAGCAATTAACCCAAATATTTAACAAAGATCAGAAAATATATATATACACACCTATACTCCTAAGTAGGAGCCTGGTATTCATCATCCAATTTTTGTTTCACAAACTCTCTCTTACAGTGTGTTTCATACACCATATTTCTTATAGTGTGTTTTTTTGGCGTAGACAGAAAAAATTGACATGGTGAAGAAGAGGAAGGTGGCGGTGGCGGTGGCGGTAAACTCGACATCGGAGAGTAATGGAAAAGTGGCGAAGGTTGAAGAGAAGATTGTCGAAGCAGAAGATGGTGCTCGTTTATCGTACAAGAAGTGGCGGGAGAGTGGTGGTAATCTGAGTTGGGAAGAGTGGTCGTGGCGGGAGAGTGGTGGTATTCTGAGTAGGA